CTGGTACTTTATGGCCTCATCAACTAACTCCTGTTCTTTTCCTCTGAGTGAGGATATGTTCCAATTTCTGACTTTTGCTCCCACTGGTGGTGTCGTTTACATGGAGCCCTTACTACCGTGTTATAGTGGCATCGCGTTGTGTGCCTCCTTCGTTCATAACGGGTAGCGACTCAGTTGCTGACTGCTATCTTCGTCGTCGTTCCGTCGGTCTTCGTCAGCCGTCGTTGTGCTGCTACGCCCCCGGCTGGCAGAGGGCAATGAGAAGGTTGTGATCGCCGACTTTTCGCAGTCTGCTTCAGTCTCCCAACAGCCTGCGCGGCCCTTGGTAACCCGGGGACGACCAATTCGGTATAATTTTCGATGGCTTTAATACCATGAGTGGCAGGTGGCTGAATTTTACGGAGATTTGCTACGGTGTACAACCCTCCTCCTTTCTCATCTGGGCTTGGGATCGGCAACGGCGGAGTTTCGATCCGATGCCATTATGCTTAATGTGGTATATTCAGCGGCGGTGTCTAAAGTTCCCGCACGGCGTCGGGGATCCATGTTGTCGTTCAATCGAAAGATAATCCCTGCAGTGGTCCTATGACTGGACGAAGTCGTGTAAAAGCAAATACATTATAATTCTGCAGCATGAGAGAGCAGTTATCTGAGCCAATCAGAACAAAGGCCGGCGATGTGGTATTTTGGACCTTCTATAACGCTGACACAAGTCTGGGAATGCTTCCATTTCGGAAGCACACGCCGGCTAACGGATAAAGCGTCGAATGTTGTTGAAAGGGTCGAATACAGAGACCTCAAGAAGACATGCGTTTGAAAGACCTAATGAAAATTGAACATCCAAATAAAATAGCACGCATCTGCAGTTCATCCAACACAGGCGACTCACCGCTTAAACAACTCAGCTTCTGATTGACATTCTTCATTTGTAACCGAGAGAAACCGGTCACGTCTCCCGATTCACGAGACCCTCGACGATTTCGCGTCGAAACATCTCAGGTGCAATGAGTACCATTCCTCCATCCTGATCAGAGAAAACTGTGGGGCTAAACTTGGCTAATGTGTTCTAACAGAGACTTGGTGAAAGTGTTCGAATTGACATCGTGAATAATTCGTATTAAGATTTAAACTTCAACATATGATTATGTCGGTCACCTAATTTCAGGCGACTTGCTTCCTGTCAAGTGAGTAAAAGCCTAACGATGTCATGTCATTTGCCATTAGAACGTTTACATGGGCGTTGTTTGGTGCCTTCAGCCATGAATCAGCTAATTATCTACAGTTGCAGCAACGGCCCAGAACCGAAGGTCTCAAATCGTATTTATTTGCGCATAAAATTACTACTAGATATTCATTCATATCAGCAGATGCAGCAGTGCAGTACGCATAACGGCTGATATAACTGGAGATCGCTAGATTGGTCTTCACTGCTTACGGCACTGAGTATGGATATTCATCGTCCTTCGCTTTCGCCATTTTCAGTTTATAGCGTATGCCTGTGATAATGGCCAGCAATGCACCAAACGCTACCGACAATCCAGCTATGAATAACACAATTATAAAATTCTTGTTCGAACGAGCAGATGCAAGGTAGTCA